GATGGTCCAAGACGCCCCCAAGCAGCCCAAGTCAGCCTTCCGACGGCTCTCGAGGTTCCCAGGGGGCCTCCAAGAAACCCCAAGAGAGGTCCGAGAGGCGTCCTGGGATGGCCCGAAGAGGCCAACATCGTTGATTTTGAATGTCTTTTTCGATGTTTTTGGCCTTCTTGCGTTTTGGAGCGTCCAACGCCCCAAGAAAGCCGAAGAGCCGCCCAAGACCGCCCCAAGACCACATAGATCCTCAGGACGGCCCCAAGACGGGCCAGGAAGGCTCCAAGACTGCCGAAGAGGCGCCCAGGACAGCCCCAGACCACCCCAGAACAGGCCCAAGATGGGCTCAAGAGCGGGAGCAGTCAGGAGGCTTCCAGAGATCTCCGAGAGGCCTCCGGGACCCCCCAGAGGCCCTCAACACACCCCCGATCCCTGAGAGCCCCCAAAAAGACCCCGACGAGGCTCCAAGAACAGCCCAAGAGAGCTGCGAGAGCCGTCCCGAGGAAGCCCAATGAGGGTAAACTCGCTGATTTCCAATTGTTTTCTAATGTTTTTCGCCTTCTCACGTTTTCCCGCTTCCAACCCTCGAAGATCGAGGATTTAGGACAAAAAGAGAATTCCCAGAATTCCTTTTTTTCAAAGTGGGACTCCTACTCGGAAATCCCACACAGCCCCTGACATCTGGCCGGTACCGCGCTTCCCGGCTTCCCGGGGGGGCCCCAAGACGCCCAAGGACAGCCCAAGACGACCCCAAGGAGCCTCCAGAACGTAAAGAACGGCCCAACACGCTCCCGCGCAGCCCGAGACACCCTTCCGACGGCTCTCCAGGCCTCCAGGAGGCCTCCAGAACCCCCAGGGGGTCCGGCAGATCCCACACCCCTGAGGGGCCCGGCTAACAAAACCCGCGAGGCACGAACAAAGAACAGCGCCGAACAGCGCCGAGGAACTGGAAACAAATGGTAACCACATGTTTTTTTTTCTTCTCAAGTTTGGCCCCCAGTCCTCTTGCACAACAGACCACAATTCAGACCCCCCTCACCTCCCCCCAAAAACCCAGGAACGAGGGCCCCAAATCGTTGAATACCTAAAGGGAATCAATGATTTCAGCATTTCCGCACTTCCCCTTCTGCGATTCCGAGGCTTGCGCAGGGCCTCCAAGGGAGTCCCTGGACGCAAGAAGCGACCAACATGATATTTAATCGCTTCGCTCATTCCGCCGGCCCATACAGTCTCATGTCTGCCGTTTGCCCGAGGGCCTGGTGTCAATGCGGCGCTTTGGGGGTTCCTGGGGCCGCTTGGGGGACTCCTGGGGCGCTCGGGGGGGCATTTGGGGGGCCTCCTGGGGCCGCTTGGGGGACTCTTGGGGGCCTCCTGAGGGCCCCGTGGGGGCCTCTTGGGGCCTCTTAGGGGCCTCGTAGGGGCTTCTTAGGGCCGAGGGCTCGAAATGTTGTTTCGTGTTCCCTCTCTGGGGCCCCTTTGGGGGCGTTCTTGGGGCCCTCTTGGACCGTTTTGGAGGCTTCTTGGGCCGTCTTCGAGCCCTCTTGGGCCATCTTGGGGCCCTCTTGGGTGCCTCTTGGGCCCTCTTGGGGCGATCTTGGGGGCCTCTTGGGCCGTCTTGGGGCGTCGGGAAGCCGAAAAGGTGGAAGCTCCAAAATCTCTCAAAAACCTATGGAAAAACAATGATTTTTGCCTCCGGGGGCCCTATTGGGAGTGCTCTTGGAGGCCTCTTGGGGCGTCTGGGGGCTATCTTGGGCGTCTTGGAGCGATCTTGTGGCATGTCGGACCCCTCGTGTACCATCTTGGGGGCCTCTTGGGGGCCTCTTGGCCTTTCTTGGGGCTCTCGGGGACGTCTCGGAGCCCTGTTGGTGCGCTCATGGAGCGCTCGGGGGGACCCGGCCGGGACCTGGTCGGGGTACTTTTCGTCCGGGGACCCCCAGGGGCCGCCCCGCGCGCGCGAACTAGAAAATTGTTAACCAGTTACCGGAGATCTTAGCACGCCTCTGGCCCGTTGGGCCGGCGAATTACATGAGTTAGCCTATCAAGCCTAGCTAGAACTTGAGCGCGCGCGAAGCGCGCGATGGTTCTAGTACATATATATGTATGTATACATATATATATATATATATATATATATGAATTACATATCTGTATATTTATACACATACTACCCGAGCGGCTGCACGCATGCTGATTAGTTAGAAGGAGCTATTTTATTAATCGTACGAGTTGTAAGAGTTAGGCCTGCACGACCGTGAGAAGGTTGTCGGAGTTTGGGGAGTTAGACACGTGATACAAGTGAGGCAAGTTATAAGAGGTATTTGGTGGCCTTCGGTCCATCCCGCCAGCGGGCCTGGCTTGCGGGTGAGAGGGATGCATACCAGGGTCTCTTGGGATGCTTCGCAGGGGCCCTTTCGAGAGCTCCTCGGAGCCTCCTGAGGGGATCCTTGGGGTCTCTCGGGGCCTCTAAGGGGGCCCCTGTTGGACCTCTTGGGGTCTCCTGGGACTTCTTGGCGGCCTGCTGGCTGTCTCGGGGGTCATCATCGGGCGGAGGGCTCAAAGTTTTGAGTTCGAGTTCCCCCTCTTGGGTTCCTCTTCGGGTCGTCTTGGTGGCCCCTTGGCCTCGTCTCGGGACCCGCTTGTGCCGTCTAGGGGCCCTCTCGGGGGCCTCTTGGGCTTTCTGGGGCGTTCTTGGGGGCCTCTTGGGCTATCTTGGAGCGCTGGAAACCCCAAATGGCGGGAACACTAACGTTTATCAAACTCTTACGGCGCTTATGCAATTTTTGTATCTTGGGGCCCCTCTTCGGGGCACTCTTTGGGCGTCTTGGGGGCTTGTCAGGCCGTCTTGAGGCCACTTGGAGCATCTTAGAGCGCTCTTCGGCCGCCTCGGTGCGACGTTGGACCCTCTTGGAGCTTCCTGGCCTCATGACATGTCACACGACACGCTCCGAGAGGTCTGCGGGGACACGCGACCTCTCCCGCACCCCCTGGGGAATCAGTGAATGTTGGCTCCAGGCCCGTCGACAGCCACTACTCAGGACTTGGGAATGAGGACCCAAAGGACTTGAGGGCACTCCAACTCGTGCCTCGAGGCACGGTGGCGGACATTCGCTGTGATGAAATTGGTATACAGTTATTGTGTGAGAGGCAAACACGTTGTGTTGGTAGTATAGTGGCTATGGGAGTCATAACGTCCACTAACTGTACTCTGTAGACAAGTTGGGTACCGTTTTATGAATGGAGGCTTCGGGCATGCGTCGGTGTGAGTATGTCCAGCAAGATGGCGCACCGATGTCGCTTCCAAATCTTGTAGAATGTCATCGTATGTATCCATCCTGTTTCCGCCCAGTTTGGGTGCGCCAAGTTTGCGGTTATACTTTGGTTGAGGCAATGCGGTCGTTGGGCGCAAGACTTTCGGCCAGTTGTCCCCAATTAGGTGCGCCGTGCTCGATTCAACCACATCGAAACACTACAAGCTTCGAACCTTATGAGGTTGCATGCATCTCGCTCAGCTGATCGCCCAGCGATGTGACATGCCGCTTGCCCGCTGGCCCCGCGAAGTTCACCGTCGAGCATCGTGTGCGGAGCTGTTTGGCTTGGGCGGCGGTGCGCAATCGGCGGTGCTCCAGGCCCCCACGTCGTCCGGCGCAGGCGGGGGACATATCCGCATACACGGCCCTGCGGGCTGGGTCCGTGGGCCGCGGCCGCGCGGATACGGGGCGTTCTTTTTCGCGGAGGCCCCGCGCGGAACGTGTCCGTGCGACCGCGCAGCCGCGGGAACGCGCCCCAGAACCCAGGGCGCGGACGCGGATGCGTTCGCCGCTCCCGAGCCCTGTTCGCCCTGGGAGCGGCAGCCATGCCGGCCCAGCTGGTGGCCCAGTGCGGCCCGCGCCTCGCGGTGCTCGCCGCCCATCAAAACACCCCAGCCCAACCCGCAGGCCCCGATTCGCCCTCCATTTCCAGTGGGGGTGGGGGGTCGGGGAACATTGGAAAACACATATATGAAGCCCATACCCCCCCCAACCCGAAATTCGGGTCTTCGGGTTGGGTCGGGATGGTCTGGAGCGTGTTTCTTCATTGCTTGGGGCATCTAATGGGCACTATAGCCCCCGCCCCCCCCCGACCCTACCCCTATAACGTGACGCCCCTCCCCCCCAAGTGCGCTCCAGGCACTGCCCCCGTGTGCACGGCGGGAGGGAGAGTTACACTATACCCCCCCCTGGCCTCCCCCCCTGTGCTGCCCGCTATCGCCGAAGAGGAAGAAACGCGCTCCTGGTAGGCAGTCAGGTACCTTCCAGCCCGGGCGGCTGGGCAGCGGCGGCCCCTTGCGCCGGCGCGGCCCGCGGCGGGCTCGCGCGGGCCCGCGGCAGGGCCCCTGGCGCCGACCCCGCGGCAGCGGCCCCCGCGGCCGTGGCGGCAGGCCTGGCCGCTCTCGCGGCCACAAGGGCACGGCGCTCGGCGCGGCGCCGCGCCCGCGGCGCACCCAGGGGGCCACAGGCGAACCCTACCCCGACCACCTACGATTTCTGCAGGGGGAGGGTGGGGTCCACTTCGCTCGGGAGCTCTCGAGCGAAGCGGACCCCACCCTCCCCCTGCAGAAATCGTGGGGGGTAGGGGCAGGGTTCGCCTGTGGCCCCCTAGCACCGGCGCCGCGCTGGCGGGCCGAGGCTGACGGTGGCGCGCCGCTGGTGGCCGCAGGGCGCTCGGAGGAGGAAAAGGTACCCATACCTCTACCCCCTCGCCCGTTTTCCCCTTTTTGAGCCTCCTGGGAGGCCCTCGTCGCCACCGTTGGATCCGCCTCGAAATTCTGGTCAGAACGCACCGCAGGAGAGGTCCGGGGAGTAGCGGTATCGGTACCTTTTGGCTTCCCCAGGTACGGCGTGGCTGGCGTGGCGACGGCAGTCGCGTGGATCGCGTGCGCCTGCGTCGCCCTGTCCAGCCACCCGAACGCGGCGACGAATGCGGTGTGTGGCCTGCGGCATAACGTGCTCACCATAGCGCAGGCGTTCGCGATGCCGCTGCCGCTCCTGTGCGCAGTGGTGCTGTCCCTCCGCTCGGCGGCAGCCGCGGGTTGGGACAGGCTCGCGTCGGCCTCCTACCGGCGCCTCAACCTCGCTCTGGCGGCCGCGAGCGCCTGGCTCTGCGCGGCAGCCGCGTTCATGCCCGCCTTCGCGACCGGCTACGACATGTACCCGCCGATGCTGAAGGCGCTGGCGTCCACGGCGCACGCGGCCACCGCCGTGCTCTGCACCGCCGTCTGGGCCCGCGCGGTCGGGGCGAAGGGGCGCCTGCTGCCGCGCGCCGTGCGGGGCTTCGTGGGCTCGGTGCTGCGGCTGGCGCCCCAGCCGGCCGCGTCCGACGACCCGGACTCGCCCGCCGGCTACGACGGCCGGAACGAGTACGCACTCTGCGCCGGGCTCTTCGGGTGGTTCGCGGTGCTCGCGGTGGTGTCGCCTTTCCCGCTGGCCACCGTCCCGGCGGTGCTCGGCACGCGCCTGAGCCGCGCGGCCTCGGCGTTCGTCTTCCTGCTGGCCGTGGTGTGCTACGTGCTGAAGGACGCCGCGGAGCGGGGCCGCCTGGCAGCCTCGACGTTCGTCACGCTGCGTCGCGGCGTCGCGGCGGGCTCCTCCGAGGGGGAACTGATGCTGATGCCGCTGCCAGTCCCTCGCCGCCGCTGCTGGACCCGCTTTCAGAACATCCTGGTCAGAGCTCACCCTTGGAGAGGCACGGGGAGCGTGGGAAGAAACACGATGGCCATGACCAAGATTCCGTTGGAATCTCGTCGACGCCGATCTTGAACATGGTCAATGCCATCCGTCGCCGACTCGCGATGTTTATCGGCGAACTGACGATGACCACGATGAGCGATTTTTAAGACTGACGTCGACGCTTCGCGTTCAGTGTTGTTCATGGCCATCATTTCTTCCCTCTAGTATCGGCATGAGTTGTTTGCTCTTCAAGTGTCTTAGTGGTGACGCCTCCAGTGGTGACCCCTCCCAGATTCGAGACTTTCTTGCAGCAAGATTTCTCACCGCATGTGCTCACTGTATTTTTTCGCCCCCCCCCCCCCCCACCCACAGGGAGCTCCACCACATGGGGCCAGCGGCAGCGCCCTCATGGCGACACCGCCTTCTTGTGGCACACTCCTCACAAGTGTATTGGGGTCATAGGGGGCCCCCCTCCTTCGTCCAGCCTGCCTTGCGGTACTCACGCCTGCACATGGTTGTGCCCTTCGCCCAGCCCAGATGTTTTTTGCTCTCCCCCCCCAAGGTTCCGCGATGCACCTGGCGGTGGTGGCCCTGAAGCTCGTGGGCGTCGACGGCGGCGGCCTGCTCCTGCCGGGCCGCGGGTTGTGGCAGTTCTACGCGAACGCCATGGCGGTGCCCTTCGCCGCGGGCGTGTCCGTGGCCGCGTACGGTCTGGTGCTCTTCGCCGCGAGCACGCCGCCAAGGATTGGCGGCACGCAGAAGGGGGTGGCGCGCGGGGGGGGCCTTCAATCGTCTGCTGACAACCGGCACCCATCTTTCTGCGATCCCTAGATTTCTCGTGGTGGACTTCCGTGGGGAGCTATGGGTGTGTGTTGTCGGATGGGTCCCCGCTCGAACAGGAGTCCCCCTCTGGGTCTGAAAAACCGCACCCATACCTGTATCGCCTTCATCTCTTTGCTCTTCCCCATACCTCCTCCCTTTTTTTTTTTTTGTGTGTGTGTGTGTGTGTGTGTGTGTGTGTGTGTGTGTGAGTGTGTGTTGCCCTCTCATCGTTCTACGAGAGCGGGGCGCTCCTTAGACGGCGGGGGCCTTCTCGGACGCCCATCCCGGCTTCCCAGAGATGCTCAGAAGTCTGCAGGCCCCTCTAAGATGGCCCTCGCCTTCTAAGACGCGCCCCGCCTTCTCAGGCGGCCACCCCGTTCGCGCCACCCCCTTGTGCGCGCCGCCAAAAGGAGCGCGTGAATCGTGTGGCCGTCCTCAGGGGCAACCGTTTGGGGGGGGGACAGGCTTAGGAGGGGATGCATCGGCCCCCAATCGCCCATTCGGGCCCGATAGCCCCACCCCGCCCAGGAGCGTTCTATCGGCGATGCATCGCCGATTCCAGGCCGATGCTTCTCAGGAGGCAAAAAAGCACACAGACACAATCAATCGTCGATTCTTAAGCTTACGCCACACCGCCGACCCCTTGTTTATGCCAATCTGGGGGTAGTAGAAGCTGCGAAGGGGTGAAAAGGCGAGTGATATTTGTTTGGTGTCTGTTCGCCGCCACCGCCAGAGGGTCTCGGGCAGTTCCGCGGGGGGGTCCGAGCGGACGGCGACACCGCGAGTTTTGGAGCCACTTGGGGGCCGTTTCGGAGCCTCTGGGGTGCTTCTTGGGGGTTCCTTGGGGCGTCTGGGCGGCCTCGTGAGGGCCTCTGGGGGCCTCTTGGGGCACTCTTGGGGCCCCCTGGGGCTCCTGGGGGCAGAAAGCTAGAGTTTCAACATGTTTGGTCGCCCTCTTGGGCCCCTCTTGGTGCCGTCTTGGAGCCCTCTTGGGCCGTCTTGGGGACCTCTTGGGCCGTGTTGGGGCCGTCTTGGGCCGTCTGGAGGCCGTCTTGGGGGCCTCTTGGGCCATCTTGGGGCTGTCTTTGGGGCCTCTTTGGCCGTCTTGGAGCGTCGGGAAGCCGAAAAGGCGGAAAAGCAAAAAACATAGAAAAACACTATGGAAAATCAACAATTTTAGACTCTTGGGGCCCTCTTGGGAGGGTTGTTTGGGACCTCGGGGGCCGTCTTGGAGTCCTCTTGGCTCGTCTTGGGGCCATCTTGGGCGTCTTGGAGCGGTCGTTTGGCGTCTCGCGGCCTTCGTGGGCCGTCTTGGAAGCCTCTTGGGGGCTTCGTGGCCCGTCTTGAGGCCCTCTTGGGCCAGGAAAAGCCCCGTGGATCGCTCGTCCCGGCCCCCTCCCCCCCTCCAAATCGGCCCTCTTGGGCCGTTTTGGTGACCTCTTGGGCCGTCTTGGGGCCGTCTTGGGCCGTCTGGAGGCCGTCTTGGGGGACTCTTGGGCCATCTTGGGGCTATCTTTGGGGCCTCTTTGCCTGTTTTGGAGTGTCGGGAAGCCGGAAAGGCGGAAAAGCAAAAACATCGAAAAACACTGGAAAATCAGCAATTTTAGACTCTTTGGGCCCTCTTGGGAAGCTCATTTGGGACCTCAAGGCTGTCTTGGAGACCTCTTGGCCCGTCTTGGGGCCATCGTGGGCGTCTTGGAGCGGTCGTTTGGCGTCTCGGAGCCTTCGTGGGCCGTCTTGGAGGCCTTTTGGGGGCTTCGTGGCCCGTCTTGAGGCCCTCTTGTGCCAGGAAAAGCCTCGTGGATCGCTCGTCCCGGACCCCTCCCCACCTCCAAATCGGCTCTCTTGGGCCGTCTTGGGGACCTCTTGGGCCGTCTTGGGGCCGTCTTGGGCCGTCTGGAGGCCGTCTTGGGGGACTCTTGGGCCATCTTGGGGCTATCTTTGGGGCCTCTTTGCCGTCTTGGAGCGTCGGGAAGCCGGAAAGGCGGAAAAGCAAAAAACATCGAAAAACACTATGGAAAATCAACAATTTTAGACTCTTTGGGCCTTCTTGGGAAGCTCATTTGGGACCTCAAGGCCGTCTTGGAGACCTCTTGGCCCGTCTTGGGGCCATCGTGGGCGTCTTGGAGCGGTCGTTTGGCGTCTCGGAGCCTTCGTGGGCCGTCTTGGAGGCCTCTTGGGGGCTTCGTGGCCCGTCTTGAGGCCCTCTTGGGCCAGGAAAAGCCCGTGGATCGCTCGTCCCGGACCCCCCCCCCCTCCAAATCGGCCCTCTTGGGCCGTCTTGGGGACCTCTTGGGCCGTCTTGGGGCCGTCTTGGGCCGTCTGGAGGCCGTCTTGGGGGAGTCTTGGGCCATCTTGGGGCTATCTTTGGGGCCTCTTCGCGCGTCTTGGAGCGTCGGGAAGCCGGAAAGGCGGAAAAGCAAAAAACATCGAAAAACACTATGGAAAATCAGCAATTTTAGACTCTTTGGGCCTTCTTGGGAAGCTCATTTGGGACCTCAAGGCCGTCTTGGAGACCTCTTGGACCGTCTTGGGGCCATCGTGGGCGTCTTGGAGCGGTCGTTTTGCGTCTCGGAGCCTTCGTGGGCCGTCTTGGAAGCCTCTTGGGGGCTTCGTGGCCCGTCTTGAGGCCCTCTTGGGCCAGGAAAAGCCCCGTGGATCGCTCGTCCCGGACCCCCCCCCCCTTCAAATCGGCCCTCTTGGGCCGTCTTGGGGACCTCTTGGGCCGTCTTGGGGCCGTCTTGGGCCGTCTGGAGGTCGTCTTGGGGGAGTCTTGGGCCATCTTGGGGCTATCTTTGGGGCCTCTTCGCGCGTCTTGGAGCGTCGGGAAGCCGGAAAGGCGGAACAGGAAAAAACATCGAAAAACACTCTGGAAAATCAGCAATTTTAGACTCTTTGGGCCCTCTTGGGAAGCTCATTTGGGACCTCAAGCCGTCTTGGAGACCTCTTGGCCCGTCTTGGGGCCATCATGGGCGTCTTGGAGCGGTCGTTTGGCGTCTCGGAGCCTTCGTGGGCCGTCTTGGAAGCCTCTTGGGGGCTTCGTGGCCCGTCTTGAGGCCCTCGTGGGCCAGGAAAAGCCCCGTGGATCGCTCGT